ATGATCAGGTTATAGCATTTTTAGCAGGACAACACTGCCATGTTGCATGAGAGGTCCTATGTTCGAGACTGGCACTATAAATAAAGATTACCAATGTTTTGTTAGTTAACAACTTTTACATGAAACAGAACCGATGATTCTTGCATGTGGCCTTTTAAATTGGACTATGATATACACTTAAGTCAGCATTTACTTTAACATATTACCTCAAATAGTGTATCACAATATATTTGATCAGCAGTCAACAGCAGTCAGTATTTTCTGCAGAGCTTTCATTGCTCATTGCATCTCCCACTCAGCGCAGGATGTGGTTGTGTACACACATCACTTTCAAAATAACTACTCAACAGCCTTGTCTCTCCTTTTATAGTTAAGGTTTTGCTCATTGTACCAGGGGCCACAGTGAAGGACTCTGGATATGTGTAGGTGTTGTTAAAGAAGGGCCACTAATATTCCATAAAAACATAAACATGCATTGTTGGATAAATGGGGTTATTGGAGTCTGCCTATCCCAGTTTCAGAAGCATTAATGAAACTATAACTTTATCGACTCGTGTCTGCAAGCTTGGAGTCCATTTACACGAGTGAAGAGAATAGGCCTGAGTGAATTCCAGGAAGTAAGTAAGCACACTTCCTGTAGGTTAGGATAGGCAATGTCTCAACAAAGTGCTGCACCACAACATTAGGACACAAAGAAATAAGAGCACCTAGATTTAAAGTCAATATATGAAAAACACCAAGTGTGCAGCTATTTCTAACATGTAACCCCAAAAATAATTAACTAATTACTTACACAGAACTCTGGTGTTAAAAGCTACAGGAAACCACTGACCCATGAATAACCACCTCTCTTTATAATGGGCCACCTGCACTCTCTTTCAGGAAATGATGCAGCTTCAGTCAACAAAAACTATATGCAGACAGACAGGGGCCTCCGGTGTCAGAGAAGAGAATAGACCCAAAACAAATCAACACATCTGGTACATTTCCACTCACAAACAGCTGAGATTTCTGATCAGATCTATTCAGTGAACATTACATTTAAAAAACAATCAAGTGGTGTGTATTAACAGTAAATAATCATCATTATCTTTCTTACAATTTAAACACATCCACAACCAAGGTGACATAATAGTGGGTTAGTGAAGAAACAAATAAGTATTTAGCTGCATGGCCTTTTGTCTGACTCATTGTGCTGTCAAGTGCTGAACTTTGTCTCCCCCTACTGGAAGGAAATGTAGTTCAACAAAAGATAAGAAAAGACATGGGCATGTCTCAGGTCCATTGGAGAATGTGTCCACAAAGCAGATTCATCTAAATGTCTACTAGAAAATTGCATATGTCAAACTATACATACTTCCGATGTTTGAAAGGATAAACTTGCTAATTGAGTAGCCATTAAGCTGTACAGAAATACTGTTTGATGAAAGTTGGAGCCAGGGCTTTCTCCTGGACAGAAGATGGTGCTGTTGTTGTGAGCATGACTGCTTCATCAGGTTCACCAGACACCAAACACAGAGCCCTCACTGCTGACATAAAGAACCAATGAAACAGCTCTAATGTATAGTAAGCATGACCCACATGCCTGAGATATCAGTCATAAAGAGTCATGATGCAGACAAATCAGAGATTGTGTTTGTTATGCAGCATAGGAGCTCTTCCTTTAATGTCAAGCAGTGGAAAGACTGAGGCATTAAATACAAAAAGGACTTAAAGTACTACATATGATGCTAAAAAACTGTTGCTGTTGCCGTAATGCAGTGGTTCTCAAACTTTTTCTGTCTTTGGAGGGAAAAAAAAGTCGGGTCCCCCCAACACAAATAGTCAGGCTCAGTGGCGGCGCCAGAGATTTATTTTGGGGGTGCTGTGGGGTAGCTTGACGTTTCATAGAGGGTGCTCAAACATTTAGGGTTTCCCATTAATGTACCGGTCGCTACAGTGGAATTTTCTACTGCAACACTCCCCACGCATATACACAGTGTACCCGCGACTGTTACAATGAAGGCTCGATAATCAGCTCACGGCATATAGGTGTAAGCAGGGGTAAAGTGCTATTTCTACAGGTGGTGTGTGGACGTCACATAGGGGGACAAGCTCCCCCGGGAAGATTTATTTTTAAATATTGAAGTTAAATACATCAATCTGGTGCACTTTGAGAGCAAAATGAAGAGATCTATGGATACATCTCTCAACACCCATATGAAACAGAACTGTAAGCAGATTTACTTTTTCTTTATGGATATTTTACAAATCACCCTTTTAAACTGCATTCTTGTTTTACTGTCATATAGTATTTCATACCTGTTTTTCATTTATTCTCTTATTTTTTTATAACTATAATGATCATATAAACGTGTGCCTCGGAAAAAATTGTTTACATTAATGGTGTACTTAACCCACTGAGATAACACTGAGAGAGTCCTTTAGCTCACTGAGTCTCTCAGTCTGACAGAAGAGGACTCTCCTCCACTTTGTTGTTGAAAAAACTCCTTATATCCGTTAGCGTAGCTCGCTAGCACCAGAAGCTAACAACAACGATCTCAGGTACCGGTGCGCTCTCTCTCTCTCTCTCTCTCTCTCTCTCTCTCTCTCTCTCTCTCTCTCTCTCTCTCTCTCTCTCTCTCTCTCTCTCTCGCTCGTGCACACAAAATGGCTCATTCCACACACACACATGAAACACAGAGACCCAGACGTAATAGTACTGTATCATATTATTTTCGAATCAATAATTTTTCAAATTATGATTTCTTTTTTTTTTTAATAACCATTTTTCCTCCTGGTCTCTCGCGCCCCCCCTGGCGCGCCCCCCACTTTGAGAACCACTGCCTTAATGCCATGCATCGTACAGTATGCAAACAAATGTATTATTGTTTAATGCAATGATGCAGACTAGAGTCTGACACTACACAAACAATACAAAAAGCCATTGTTTTGTTAGAAACGTCTCTTATTTCATTCCTGATCAAACACATATTTGTGACGGAAGCATTCCCAGTATTCTACATCATTACCTTAAAGTGGACCTATCATGCTATATTTGAATAATATATTGTAGGGCCATACCTATATAAAACATGTCTGTGAAGTTTTTTTTTCAAAATACCAAACAAATCATGCATTTTAGCCATGCCTCATTTGCTCTTTTCCAGCCCTGTTTTTGCAAGGGCTGATTCTGTGAGAAGTGTTCTTCGCTGCTTTTGTGGCAGACTACAGCGCCACTTACAGGCCTGGCATATGTACTACAGCGTCTCCAGCGCTTTCGAGCGGTCTCTCATTCCCCTGATATATGTGGAGAGTTGCCCATATAGGCGGAGCACCCCTTTTCTGACGTCAGAAAAATTCAAATAATTATCAGATCCGTTGCAGCCCCGTTTTTAGAGATTTGGGTATGGAGGAAAAGAGAGAGGGTTAAGTTTTCTGACACTTGGTGAGTTCCCTGACACACCGGGGACACATATTCATGTATAAAAGACGTACAAAAGTGCATTTTGCATGATAGGTCCCCTTTAAAAAAAAGTTGCCATGTAGAATACGTTTTTTTGTTGTCTCCAACTAGTGCTCTTGTGAAAACGTTGTGACCAACTACACTCACCAAAGGTAGTTTGGTCTGCCCCAAGGATGTAAAACTACCACTAAACTGTAAAGTTAAGCTATAGAGAACTAAATATATCTCATTCTGTTAAGGTTAGAACATTTCATAGTAAATGTTACCCCATGGGGTTTGTCCAAAAATGTGCTCCCCTCTTAACAGATATTACTTCTGACGCCACAGTCCTGCATATTTGCAGAAATCACTGCCTGCTTCCAAGCAACCACACTTCCTCCATCTCTCAAACGTCCTCCTGGATTATCATTTAAGAATTGCTGCATGTGGAATCTGCAAAACGAGTTCATGTTCATCTCCTTGAGGCTGGAGTTATGTCTATTTACTCCACACTGGAGCAACACATGAGTGGAGCTGCACAAACTCAAAAGTGTATTATTTTTACAGTAAATGGGAGTGTCCAAACGTTTTAGTTTTGACCTTGCGCTGTCTAACTAACATTTAACAAGCTAAAACATTTCTGCTTCATGACATGAGTACCGAATGTCTGGCAAAATAATCACAGCCTAGTATTGTTGAGCTCAACTACAGTGTTTAACTGCAGGCCTCCTTCTCATCTACAAAACTACTTTCAATGCAACTTTCAAATCGCCATTTTGGACAATTTGGTACTGGGTGGACATGCACTGTGTAAACAAACTCCGAAAATCTCCTCTGTCATAGAAATCATGGGAGTAAGTACTTCATTTATAAATATAAACAAACACAGGAACACCACCTGTCATTTTGTAAGGGTACAGAGGATCAGGAACAGATGTTGGAGCAGACTTTGAAAGAGTGAAAACTCATTAAACATTTTCATGGCTAAACTTGGAAATTAGCATGTGTCAGGGAGAAGCGCTTTATGTGCTACCTGTGAGTAAGACATCAAAGAGCGCTGCAGCTGCTAATGACAGGCCTATGCATGCCTGAGTTCCACAATTAGCCGATACAGCTAATTATCCCCAAAAAGTTAAATAAAACACAGGCACACGGGCATCAGGCAACACATGCTTTATCCCCAAAAAATTAAATAAGACCAATATGTTGCGTTTGATTTGCTATTTGCAGAACAGCATGCTTTTTCCTACTGGTGCTCCACAGGAAGAGTTCCATGTGTGTCTTGTAGCCTATAGGGTTTCAGTGAAGAGAGGAGCACCCCTAAACATAATCCCCACCCCCCTTACAAACCCACTCCTACCTCCAAAGTCACTCACAGTGCAGTGTCATTTCACAGAGTGTCAACCCACCTCTGGAATTTCAGAGAGGAAGAAAAGGGAGCAAATTATGGGACATAGAGTTTAGCTGCAGCGTTATAAAGAGTAAGAGATTTTTTCCCCCCTGGAGGAGACCTCAACCTTAGGCTCTGGAAATACATGAAATCCAGCGTGCCTTGTGTAAAGGCTCAACTAAGACCTGTTCCTGTCTAAGCATTTTAATGAGCGTAAGCCCTCAGGAGGAATAGTCAGAACTCACAGAAACCAAAGTCAGCCCCGTGGGAAACAAAGCTCTCCGGCTGCTCACCGTACAGACATGCAGCCGTTCACTTTGGTCGGTGCTCTGGTCCTTCTGCTTCACATCTCCTCAGGCAATGCGGATGCACAGAGGTAAGTCAATACTAGAGCAACAGAGCGTTTGATGATGTTGGTGTTTCTACCCTGAGACAGGTGTAAACTTTACTTGGATATATACTCATTCAAGAATTAAAAAAGACTTTCCAGGATAATGGAAATGCACTGGCACCAAAAATAAACCAAAAGTGCCACCAACAGTTTTAAGATAAGATAAGATGAATTGATCCCAAATTGGGAAATGTTGGGATTCATTTAACCCACTTCCGGTATCCAAAAAAGGAATTACTGCTATTTTAACTGCCAGCTCCTGCACGTGCTTTTACTTAAAGTGGAGTGAGGGAGTAACCTGATATGTGCTTTAAAGATTTCCCTGGAAAACCGTTGTTTTGATGGTATGTCCACACTGCTGCCATGCGAGCAGAGGACTACGACAACGTTGACAGTGTGTCGGCTAAATGTGGCACAGCAACTGTTAATAACTGAAGAGCACCTGTCACTCTAAAGAGCCCCTCTCCTGTGGGTTATTCTGGTTGATTTCTATCAAGTCTCAGATTCCCCCCAGTCCCACTGGAGCCCAGGCTGCTTTTAGGATGCTAACCCTTTGAAACATAAACATCTGGACATTTAGAGTCTGGCACTGAGGTCAAAAGTAGAGATTTTGATGATGAAAGCTGTGAGGTTAGATTTGGATGTGTGATTCTGACATGAGTATACTTATGAACTAAGTCAAATGGAATCTTAACATCCTAATATAATTAACAGGTTAAAAATACACACATGGAATATAATCTATATGAACTGTAGGTTATTTGTGAATGCAATGCTGACTCCATAACCGCAACTGAGAATAGCTTTAATGTAGATTCTGGAGTCAGGTGAAGAGGAACGTTCAGTGAATGAAGAGGACATATGGTTGTTAATAGGGTATCAATGTACACCGCAGGAAGTGTCTGATTAGTGTGTTTTTCTCCATCTGTAGCCTACATCCTGTCAGCTGGCTGTTGCTCCACAGGGAGCCCCCTTTTATCACTAAGCAAGCATGTGAGGGTACACTTTATTTAGGTTAACTACCATTGGGACCAAAATTAGAAGAAGAGCTTACATACACACATGAGCTAGAGACTATGGTTTTGTTTGGATCCTTGTTTTCATTCTAATATATTTGTAATCATATATCTTGAGCGTTTCATTGTTGTTGTTGTTGTTGTGATAAGATTTGATTAAAGACCAACTTTCCTATCTGATGTTCAATGCATTAACCAAGGTGGGTTTTACATTTTGCTGACACTAGGAAATTACATACCTCACCTTCCGGTTCTCTCTTGTTCTACAAAGGCACTACCGACAAGTCCTTACTGGAAGCCAACCAGGTGTTTGTCGCTACGGCAGGAGGCTGGAGTGTTGCTATGGCTGGAAGAAAAACAGTAAAGGACAGTGTGAGGGTAAGAGCAGTCCAGATTACAATATAAATATATGCTATAATAATCAATTGTATCTTAAAAATCAGTCAAATGGTTAGACATATTTTTTGAATGGACAAAATATATTGAACTTAACTTAGTGCCTCAATAAAAGCTATCCTAACAACCGTTGTTCTATTCATAAAATATATTTTCCTGTACCAAAAGAAGTGGAGGATATGAGATTCAGTCCTTTCCTGCATAACAGAAATGTGTGGTTTGACTGTAATCCACAATTCTTAAACCACTGATATTTCTAGTGGTATTCTTTTCATTTTAAATGCTTTACCAGCTCAATGTGACCACGGCTGCAAGCATGGAGAGTGTGTTGGCCCCAACAAATGCAAGTGTTTCCCAGGATACAACGGAAAGACATGTAACCAAGGTGAGTAGTTTGGGTCTGGAAAGCCTGGGTCATTCTGGGTTTAGGGTAATCTAATTTCCAGCATATTTTAATTTAACAAACTCAATTTATGTATGTTTTACTTTACGCAAATCATTTTCTCTTGTGTTTAATGTAAAGGATGTTCTGCTAAATGTACATGTTTATAAGGTTTTATAAAAGAAGGTGTTTCAGGTGTAGAAATAAAGTTGACTTTTGTTTATAGATCTGAATGAGTGTGGCCTGAAGCCTCGTCCCTGTCAGCATCGCTGCATGAACACCTTTGGAAGTTACAAGTGCTACTGCCTCAATGGTTACACAGTAATGTCTGACGGATCTTGTGCAAGTGAGTATGAGTGCTAATATACATAGAAACACACAAAAAAATCAAAGCTGCTCAGCTTTAATATTAACAAATGTTTGTTTTTGTGTTTTTGTGAATGCATGTAGATTCCAACACATGCTCTATTGCTCACTGTCAGTATGGCTGTGAGGAAGTTCAGGGGGAGATTCGCTGCCTCTGCCCGTCTGCAGGGCTGCAGCTGGGGCAAGATGGGAGGACATGTGTAGGTGAGCAACCACATGCACACTGAAAAACAATCATTGAATGTTATAAAGCATATACTATCATGTCATATGTGAAATATGATTGACAGTCGAGCCTAGACTATACATAAGGAAAGGGAAATTCAGATGGAGCAATAGCCCTCGTCTAAATAAGGAAACAGAAAAAACTAAAATTGACTTTGGCTTGTTTCCAGTCTCATGGATTGGGAGTTTTTGCATAGAGAAACAATTCTGTAGACATTCTATTATGTGGTTTTTGCGTGTTTGGCTTACAAAGCAAATGGATGCTATCAAGTTATATTTCCATAAAAATGCTTGAGCTCTGACAGAGCAAGTCTGGCATAACGATCACACAGGGGAAGTAATATAATAGTTCTGGAGCATTAAACTTCAGGATAAGTCTACATTCAACAGACTTATCAAAGTTACAAAAAAAGTAAATTGTTCCCAAATGTACCATAACAAATACATAATCGACCCTTATGAAATAAACACATATCCGTTCAAGTGCAAATTCATACCCGAGCAAAACATAGAGGATTCTTTCAATTCGTACTTAACACGATAAACACCTTAATGGCTGCAGGGCATGTTATTAAGTTGCAGATTATACATTAAAACATGCAGACTGATAAATACAGATAACAAGGACTTAATGATATGACTGAATGATCAACAAAACAAAAGTCATATAATGTCATAGGCCTTTTATTTTTTCCGTCTTTTGTTTCCCTTCAGATGTAGATGAATGTGTAACTGGGAAGAACCTCTGCCCATACAACAGACAATGTGTGAACACCTTCGGGAGCTACCTGTGCAAGTGCCAGGGCGGCTACGACCTGAAATATGTTGACGCCAAATATGACTGTGTAGGTAAGGTATACATGTTTATTATGGGAAAACCTTCGAGATCATTTCTGCTCCTAAAGGTACAAATAGGCTTTTTCCATTTTCAGACATTGATGAGTGTGCAGCCGGCACCCACAAGTGCAGCCAGCACGCTTTCTGTGTGAACTCTCAAGGATCCTTCAAGTGCAGGTGCCAGCCTGGCTACAGAGGCAATGGCTTTGAATGCTCTGGTGAGACTCAAGAACAGCCACACAGCATTATGAATCAAGTAGTTTTAGGGATGCCTTTTGATCTTAAACAAACTATCCAAGTAAGGCCTTTCACCGTAGATTTAAAAAAACTAATGTGTCAGGCCTTTCCCAAGTTAGAGTAGTCAGTCAGATAGGTCAGGAGCACTTTTACAGACACATATTTCATTTAAACTCTTCAAACATCAGCAAACATCAGTCGTGCCAAGGCTAGTTTCCTGTTTTCAGACCTCACTACCCTATATAGATGTCAGCAAGAGAGAGCCACAGATTGAAAACACACCTGTGTAAATAGGACATTTGTACGGTAGCCAGTCATCTGGAGAAGAAGGGGAAACACAGATTGAGCTGTGTGCTCTTTAAACCAGATCCAGATTATAACAGGTGAAGCCTCATGTAGCCAACTGACAAAGAGAATAGGCAAGGGTTTTCAGCGTGAATCAAAGATGCATTTATTTTTTGTAGTTAAGCCGTTTTATCAGCGGTCGTGGGATGGAGACAAAGGCAGTGCAGATGATTTCCTAAATGGTGAGATTGTGTGAAATCCAAAACTCTGCTTCTGCTGATCACTCCCTGCTCGCAACCCCATGCACTCCCTCCTCTTGCCTCCTTACTCTTCAGAGCACATTTTGCAACTGCTCATGGCTGGAAATGTTGTATGGCCTCTGCAAACAGCTTGATATGAGACCTGGAATCCTCAGCATGACCCTTGAGCACCTTTTGGATAAAATGCTTGTGCACTTGAAGCACTTATCTAAGCTGTGTGCAATGAATGCTGCTGAAGTGCTTCATCTGCATGGAGAAGGACAAGAACAGCAGCTGCAAAATACATGACGACAAACGCATCTTGAGTCCTGGTAAAATACTGTCTTTCCCACTCATGATTGAGGTTCCACATGTCTCATCTGTTTCCTCTTCCTCCCCGCAGCCATCCCAGACTCCCAAGTGAGGCCTGAGCTTCTGGGAGGAACATTTGACAACCAGGACATCAGAAATCTTATCCCGGAACCAGTGGCAACGCTGCCTCCAAGGATCCGCGAGCAGCCTTTCGACTATGATGGAGAGGTCTACGTTGGCCCTGAGCAGGAACAGGTGAATGTATTTCCTTTGGCAGAAGAAGAGGAGCAGGAGGAAAACGAGGAGGCTGAAGACAACCGTCTTAATCAAAGAGGAGACGTTTTCAGTAAGTGTCCTTTCGTTTGGCTGTCTTACAGTCATTTTGGGTGGTCCATAATGTATTAACCATACATAGAGTGTCTACACAGCATTTGAACACTATTAACGATTATTCAGTATGTGGCTGAATGAAGTATAAAATAAGAGGTCAGTCCAAACACCTTGAGCAGAGAAGAAAGGAGCTCCTCAGACACATCTTTGGAAGGTTCGATGTTACTAAAAATTGAGAAATGTGTTGAATTATTTGACTATTTCCAGAGAAGAACCAGACACACTGAATCTGATTCAAAGATATCATAATATCAAAGCTTTGGCTAAAACAAATACAAAATATAACAATCACAATAAAAACCTAGAGGCTAAATGTAAGAAATGATGTGACTATATATCTAATTGAATAGATCATTTATGAGACTTAAATAAATCATATTCTCCGGCACTTTCATCAAATAATAAGAAAAGAGTGCACAGTGTAGTTCTGCAGTGGTATGCACCTCAAAGAAAAACCCCACACATGAGGTTACCTTTCAACACTTCTCTTGATCTTTATGGAAACACCCGAGACTGTGTAAGAACTCAGATAGCAAGAGGAGACAGGCCCCGAGACATCCATCACCTCCAGGGAGGAATTTTACTCTGTCAGCATGTGAGAGCCCAGGGACACAACTCGTCCTGCTTCCCATCTCCTGGGAGGAGGGTAAAGAAGGGGGGAGGTTACTTAGCCTCCAAGCCTTTTATTATGTTTTTCCCAAAACAGCTGTTGTGCAAACAGACTTGACTCCTAGTTGGAAAGTCTGTCATCAGCACTCTAGACCTCTCTAGCACCAGCCCACTCTGGCTGCACAGGTTCAATCACCCCAGCTGTCACTCGTCTGAGGCCGCTAGCCATGGGGGTGGTTTTCTGTGAGAGCTTTAAAACACTTGAGAGGCTGTATCCTAAAGTTGTAGCTTCATCTCAAGACATGAGTGACAGCAGGGCAGGTCTACACCTGTTGGTAAAAAAAAACCTTTCATTGCTGCATCATTTTGGAATGCTTTTTCTAAGATAATATGTTTTAAGAGGAATGTATGAACCATAAGTGATTTGTCATTTTTATGAGGCAAAGTTTTTGCATGAGATTTCTGCTTTTGCTTTTTAGTTGATTATCACTTTGAGCTGAAACATTATACATAAGTTGAGAATTCATTATGTACACCTTGCTAAAAATAACACGGTCTTATAATTAAGTTTCCGTTGAAACACTATAGGTTTAATACGAGAAGGATTTAATGCATGACTGTTTGTATTAGACAGTTTAAGCCAGGTGTGCTTAATAACCTGGCTGAAAATGTATGAATTCATATTGATTGTTTTCCCCTTTAATTTCTCAATACAGTTGCAGAGGACTTTGAATCCGTGTTTGGACCAGCGACAGAAGTCAAAGAAATGTTAATAGCACCAGTTCAGGAAGGTAATGAAATACCTGTTAAGATGCCATTATTATATAAGGACAGTTTATGTGACTAATTTGCTTTTGTGCTCCTAATGTTTCCACCTCCAGAGTTCATTATGGATTGCAACTTTGATCAGGGAGCATGTGAGTGGATCCAAGACAAGACTGATGACATGGACTGGAGCGTATCCTACCATAATGGTAACAGTATGATTAGTATGTTTTTTTTTTATGTCAGATTAATGTATACTTTAAGTGCATTTAGATGGAATCATTTACAGAATATGTGCTACGAACTCTTTCAGATGCTGAGTACTACATGGCCATGAGTGGGCTCCTAGGAGAGCCGGAGGATATAGCCAAGCTGAAGCTGCTCCTCAGTGACCGGGCCCAGCAGGGCAGCTTCTGCCTCACCTTCGACTTCCGTGTGGTGGGCCAGAATGTGGGAAGTCTCAAGGTGCTGCTGGATAACAACGCTTACCCTGTATGGGAGCAGAGCCGAAGCAGAAACCAGGCATGGCAGACAGAGATCCTCACTGTGACCTGGAAAGAGGAGGCACCAACATCGGTGAGTGATTTATCATTTTACAACATAATTATCAATAGATGGTTGTCAAAGCTTTGCTGTAACTGCTAACAACAATAATACCAGCCAAAGGAGGTTCAACAGCACATAAGTTATCATAATGCTATGAATGTCTTTCAGATTTTCTTTGAAGCTCAGCATGGGAAGGAGGTTGCAGGAGAGATTGGGCTGGACAATGTTGTGCTGACCTCAGGGCCCTGTCAAGAGGATGTCAGCCCATTTGTCTAGGAGTATCCACCCCGGATTTACAATGTTAAAATCTGCCTTAACTGACACACATAGGATTCCTGTTTCCTGCCTGTAATATGATCTGGAGTTTCTCATGTTTTTTGCTAGCCACAAGACATCCACATAAAGATACAGAACTTAGTCTCTAGGGAAGAATATGTATTATCAGTGCATGCATGTTCACAATATCAGCATGCTGCTAGATGAACACATCTGGCTCCATTGTGATTGTTATACATAACTCCGATCTCAGGAATAGATGGACATGTCTATTAAGTTAGATGTCACAGTATTGTGCTTAGTCTTTTTTGTGTATGTGATTGCTGAAGTTAACATTCAATAATCTATGACATGTAATGTGAACTCTTAAGTGAGGTATATCTTAGATAAATACATTTCTTGAAGGCTAGTTAGTTTAAATGATCAAATGCATCAATGAAAGACTGCTGTACATTTTGCTTTCAATTTATAGTGTACTATTACATTAAATCTGTTTTTTTTTTCTAAATCTGCCTTCCATTCCTTCCCCCCTCAGACACATTTATGATGGTTCACGTACATCTAAATTTGATCATGTCAGTTACGTACAGCAGGTTCATGCAAACAGAAATCTATCACCTGGAGTTGTTCTGGTAATGAAAGCAAATGTATCATAAGCCAGTGTTACAGTCTGGACAAAATCCACACTAATATGACAAAGAATGTGGGTAATTTATGAAATGCCACCACAAATGGACTTGACATGTATGGATGCCAGCCAAGCTTATATTTTATTACTGAAAATTGATGTGGTAGTCAACTGACACCAAGTAAGAAAAGTATGCTTTTGTGAACACAATATTGGAAAGGGAAAAATGCAATTGTTTGCTCTGACAACCAACAATTACACAGCTAGAGATGATGATGTAAGTAATATTGTAAGTAAAGTGTTTATACTAATTTATTTCATCTTCCATAATGATATCCACAGAAATAGCACAACTTAACTTAAATATACATAAAGAAAACAAATAATGTAGCCTACAGTACATAGTCAATGTAGAGTAGACATGTATCAAATACATTTTCGAACGAATATACAAGTAGGCAAGCAAGAAAGGTACAGGACAGTTAACTACAAATGTATGTTAGGAAACACTAACTTTCTCTAGTTGCATATACTTTTGGTTGTGCTTGCATAAAGTAATCATGCTTTAGAAATCGCCTCTGTTGTGGATATAATGATGTCCATGACTTTGGTATATGTTTACATTGTGTTAGCTATGTGTTGTAAAAGGTATTTGGACATTAATACAACAACAACATGTACGTTAGCTTGCCATGTGGTAACCATTGATGTATAAAGGTGGTAAAGTTTGCAAACTGTCAAATTACTTTTTTTTAGGTGTGGCGTGGATGTTCTCCAGTGTGCAGCTGGGAGCTAACTAAGCTAAATGTCGCTCTCTGGTGGTAAAGCATGAATCATACAGAGGTACAATATTGTACCTGCTGTTAGCTGTTAGGAACAATTTGGTCACATTGTTTGACAAACGACACGAAAGATGCTCTATAAAATTTCCTTATTTCTTACAGCTATATGATTCATTTCAATTTGAATAGGAACGGATGTGTTGTGAGGACCTGGAGGTGACCTCAGTGCTTGTTGGTTGTTTCTGTCTGACAAGATCACATGATCCGAGGCTGCCCATGTATCGTTAGCTTGTTAGCTTGTTAGCATCTAGCCGCGTTAGCAGCAAGCCTTTGGGGTTCACCAGGAAACGGTGCGACGTGACGTTACCGCGAGCCACGCCAAGGCGAGGAGCTGTCAGAGGAATGCATTAATATCATTTCTGTTATTTCCTGTTTTGTTTTTCGTTGACTCAGCAGCTGTCTGACACGAACTGTACGGTAGGTTATATCAATTTTGCCCGGAACTAAACCTAAGCTGGCGAATGCGGTCTATTTCATTAGCCTAACTCCAGCTGTGTCCCCTTGTTTTCCGTTTCTATGTTAGCTTAGCTTAGCTATAGCGTAGCTAGCTGATAAACACAGTCTTTGCTAGCTCTATGAGTGTGCTAGCATGTTACAGCTATTAGGTTCATTTTGAGTATGTTTTATGTCAGAGGCTACATATTTGTAGTTGTTGGAGAGCTTACAAACTGTGTATTGATCGTTTGCTAGCAGATAATGCTTTATTGCAATGGGGCTTCCCAGCTCTAACTGCTGTCATGGGCCATCTGTTAACCAGGAAACTGCTGTGTTACAGCTGGTTGAACGCTACCTACATGGCTGCTCACATCAACATTAATCAAATGAGCCTGTGACCAAGGACCAGGGTCTACAACACATGATCTTGACAAGTGGAGACCAGAAGTCAATCAGTGGTGAGTCAAAAATAATTTTAGCATAGAATTGTGTTAAAAAAAAAACAGTAATTGTGTTTCTTCAGTTTAATGTAAGGTGGTTATTGGCATTTTATTTTAAACCTATTGTTTAGCGTTGTACAGATAATACAAATATATTGTGCACCTCTCCAATAGGTAAACTATTTCAAAGTGATAGATCGGGAGTGAATAGCCATGACGACAAAAACATCACTGCTGAAAGTCATTCTTCTTGGTGATGGAGGTGTTGGGAAGAGCTCCATCATGAACCGCTACGTTACCAACAAGTTTGATGCACACCTTTTCCACACCATTGGCGTGGAGTTCCTCAACAAGGAACTAGAGGTAGATGGCCACCAGGTTACTCTACAGATCTGGGACACTGCTGGCCAGGAGCGCTTCCGCAGCCTGAGGACTCCTTTCTACCGTGGCTCTGACTGCTGCCTGCTCACCTTCAGTGTAGATGACAGCCAGAGTTTTCTCAACTTAGGCAACTGGAAGAAGGAGTTCATCTACTATGCAGATGTTAAGGAGCCAGAGAAGTTCCCATTCGTTGTCTTGGGCAACAAAGTGGACGTGACAGAAAGGCAGGTGTCTACTGAGGAGGCTCAACAATGGTGCCAGGAGAATGGAAACTTCCCCTATTATGAGACCAGTGCCAAGGACGCCACCAATGTAGCGGTCGCCTTTGACGAGGCGGTGCGCAGAGTGTTGGCATTGGAAGAAAGAACGGACCACCTCATCCCCACAGACACAGTCAAGCTTCACAGAAAGCCTCGCTCTGCTACATCCTGCTGTTCATAACATCCAGGAGTTATCACTAACATTTGCTGTTATGCCTTTTATGTGATGAGGCTGTAGGTTTACAATGCTGTTGTAACATCTTATTTAAACAAATTATGCTACTGGCTTTATGATTTGTTGTACTGTTGAAGGTTTGGTAATGCTATTTGGGACTTCTGCTTGAAGAGAAATAGAAGAAACACTAAACTCATCCCAGTCTGATTACAAATAAACATAAAATCTCCGATCATTCATTCAGCACCTTTCAAAGACTTTGGAGGCAGAAAAATACACTTTATTTTTTGTCGGAAACTCTCAAGCTGTCGTGAAGGAACGGAGGCAATGTCTTTGATTTTTCACTTCCTTCTCAAATGTTTAAATGTTCTATTCTGTCACATTGTAAAATGATGCAACCCTTAAATCTGTACTACCTTGGGAGTACCATCATTATAGGTTTCCATAACTTCACTCTTAAATGTTATAAAACAGTTATGACCTATATATTTATATTCAGAACATAATTTATACAGCCTAATGACCTTATTTCTGAGAATTATGAAGTAGCTGTGGGAATATGTGTAACTAACAAATTGAGGCTTGTTGTGATTTTTGCACCTTTAGGTCTTTTTGTATGCACATTCTGCTTAGTGAATAGTGATGATAGGCTGTGTGCTGCAAGCACTTAACAACAAAAGATCAATATTAAAGCAACATTAACATGCATGGCATCAGGTGTATTTCATTTCCTGGAAACTTCTATTCTGCAAAATGTTACCTTTTAAGAAGTACTTACTATTGCCTTGAGGAAAGTGTAATGAAAATGATTTAATTAACAGTTTTCCTCATTGTTGGGTCCATTGTTTTCATTTAGTTTTTATCTTTAAAGCACTCTATTAACATTTGTATACTTACAGTTCAGTGTTTTTCTGCACAGATTAATAGTGATTACTGGTATGCTAAGTGACCAATAAACTCAGAGAATTGTCCCTTAAAGCATGGTTTGTTTCCTTAAAACTGTTTGTCTGTTTATTATCCCAATGTTTGAATTGTGCTTTATAACCACTGCAATGATTTAATGCATACACTGGTAGATAACACAAGTACTTAACTATGTCACGGCTCAACATTGTGTTTATACATATTTTTTTCATGTGTTGAGCAGTCTTTAAGTAAAAGATTGTATGCCTTTAAGTATATTGTTAATAATCAACACACAGCAACCAAACTCACAGCTTGTCCCATGCAAGAGAAGAAAAAAGGATCAACAAATATTACCATAGATTTTAGACAACTTTTTATAGAAAATATGTATTTAATACATTGTACAATTGTTAAACAGGAAAAGAAAGACAGACATCAAACGTGTGGTAGCTATATACACACAACCAATAACCAAGATGCATTATGGTCCTCGTTCATGTGAAGTGATTAACTCAAGAGATGTTTCTTTCCAAGAAACTGTACTTTCCTCTCAAAGGCTGTTGAGCGGATTGGTGCATTGATTTCGTAGAATGGATTCATTGCAAACTGGAAGACAAAACAAATAAAAACACTGAAGTAAAAAAATAGACCAAATGTAACCTCGTGCCAAGTTATTCTCATATGGACAACTTACCTTAATGTATAAATCATATACATCATTAAAAAAGTTTTTGATTCCATCTTCTTGTCGTGCGTCATGCAGCATGATGAATCTTATATGTACGGCAAACAATTAAAGAAAATAAAGCCATTGTAATGAAAGCCTTGAATTTGACTAAAGAATGACAACAATACGGGGACTTCTGATAATGTGATCACATTATACTGCAAATTAACAAGTTAATAATTGTTCCTATCAACCCTATAAAATGGCAGTAAAACGATAAATGCCCTTTAGAGTCCAATGTTTGCATTATGAGTATCACCAATAAAAAAAGGATATGTCCTGCAGTGACGAAGGCAGAAACAAACCACTCGTTGAACTTGTCCACAGTTTTCAAGTACATATTGTTGGAGAGCCACATGTTTTCATCCACTAAATCCAGGGCAGCGTGTGCGATGAACTGGTTCAGGTGACGATGGTCATCCTGTGGTCAATGGCACAAAAATGAAACAAGATGATAAAGGAACATATATGTTTTAACATATCAAACATTAACATATCCAGTTATGCTGAGGTCTATGGCTTCTATGCTAATAAATCAAACAATTATTATTTCGTGACCACTGTTTTTGTAATATGTACAGGAATAAATGTTGGTGTTATTATTAATCCATGACGTTACCTTTGATTCAGCTTTCCCCGATGGCAAGAACTCCAACTCAAAGACAGGGTTGTCCTGGTGGCCAACCATGACGAAATAAAAGCTTCCAGACATCGTGTTCCCCTCTTGTTAGCAAAGTCAAACTGTCCTGAAAAAAATCAAACCAAACACAACATGTAAAAGAAATGTAATATTTCCAAATATCAGTGTCAACATCACCTGATCGACGGACAGCCCTTTAACTAGCAAGCTAACGTTAGCTGCAGTGCTAAAAAGACGGTTGGCGTCGTTTAAGACGTTCAGTAATGCTTGCATAACTAATTTAAACCTATTACATTTAAGAGAGTATGATAACTAACATAAGCACAAAAGGAAAGGCGTATAAATGTCATACAACCGATTTGTGTTTACCTGTCAATTTTGCTTCCTGGAGAGAAACAAGTGAAGTCGCACAAAAATGACAACATGGTAAAGCAGAAAGAATAACAACTATCTCCGGTAAAACGGTTCAGCGACAAATATTTTAACCTAGCTTCCTATTAATAATGGTTGCATTAAATGTATAATACATTTTCGAATAATAATAAAATAAATATAAAATACAATTGCAGATTCTCTTCTGTACGTCATAGCTGTGCGCCCGGAACCAACGTATCCGTTGACGGATTTAAATTAGTGGTACACGCCTCCTTGAAAGGACGCCGAGATGCTTTCTGGTTGTTAGGCTGGTAAGTAGAAACATAATTGTATCTTTAGAGACGCTTATTGTATTTGGGGGTTTAGGGGACACATTTTGAACAGTCTAACATCGGGTAGGCATACATTAAAAGCTGTTGAAAACTGTTATTTTTCTTGTTTAGCTCACCATGTCAGCTTTACCGTGCTGTTGTTTCTCTTCTGTCAGGACCTACAAAACAACGACAGTGTAGTTATGTCTTCGGCCAAGGAAGACACGTTATCCCCAGACGAGCTGAGGAAAAGACTCTATCAAACGTTTAAAAGTAAAGGACTCCTTGATACACTGAAAGTAAGTCGTGCTATAAATGTTATTGTTTGCTCTGCAGCGGTTATTGTAATTTGCTAACTGACGCGTTAGAAATAGTTTAATGTTCTTCTCTCTTTTTCTTTTTCATTTGTCTGATCTGATTCAGACACAGCTGCGGAATCAGCTCATCCAGGAGTTAAAACACCCACATTTGACTGGAGGAGAACCAGTCCCACGAACAATTCCTGGGAGATCTGAACCCCTTTTGGTGTCAGCATGCAACAGCATAGTGTATGATCACCTCTGCTCCTCAGGATATGAGTACACCCTCTCTGTATTCTGCCCTGAAAGCGGCCTATATAAAGACAAGGTTAGCAATGAGTTTGTTGTCTAATTTATTGTACTGCTTGTAAAAGACATCTTTGCATATGAATATTCTAGTCTCTGATCTATTTTGGCAGGTTTTAACAACCGGAGACCTTCTTCAGCTTCTTAAAATCAGTCCTGAATCAGCACTTTACAGATCTCTGGTAATTCATAATTTGATAGGAATATTTTATTTAAATGATACCTCATTCCCGTTAGTAATAATGGTGTTAATGTTTTTTTTTACAGTCTTCAAACAAAGAAAACAATGATAAAGGTATGTACATTAAGCATTATTTGTTATAAAACTGCTCCTGCCCCTAAGGCTTGTCATTAATATATCTTATTTTTGTCAAGCAGGGTTCCTGATCAGCCTTCTAGCACAGCTTACACACCATTATACACACAGCATTGGTCACGATGCCGACACTCAGACCACCAGCAAAGCAAGTTATGGAGACTCTCTGGGTATGATGAGATAAAGTGTCACATTGTACTCAACACACCTGCCTTTGAATGCAGAGTTTTTAATGATTATTTTCTTCCATACACAGTTGAGAAGATGAAAATGATTGATAAGGAGTACGAGAGCTTAAATTACAGTGGGGAGAAATGGTTTACACTGGAATCAAAACTGTCTGCCCATAGAAAAGAAATTGAAGCACAGCTGCAAGCAGAAATGAAGACAAAAGTACGTATATTCGTTACAAATATCACAAGAATAAATGCTATACAGTGTAACTTTATTGTATAAATGCATCATGTTTTATGACGGTCTAATATTTGATGTGCAGTTTTTCTTCTGGTCTCAACATTGTGTCTTTTATTTCTTAAGATGCAACATTTTAAAGATGTTGAAATTGCCACGGTGAGGATGGAAGAAAAAGCAAAGTTTCATAAAGAATTTGATAAGCTGAAGCAAGATCTGGAGAGGACTTATGAGATGAAGGCAAAGGCGTTGATGGAACGAGAGAAAAACGCCATTGATAGATTACAAAAACAACAAGAGGTAGAAACCTAAGCAAATCATTATTTCTTAAAACTGACATTAGGCAGGCTCTCAACTTTCCATTAACCATTTGCATGAACTGCTTCAATCTAAGATGGTGTAATGCATGTTGTTATTTGTGTTTCTCTTTTCTTTAGATTGAAGAAAGAAATATGTACATGCAGAGACAGTCGGCCCTGAAAGAAATCGATACAGTGCGAAACAGAGAGAATGAGCTGAGGATGAGAATGGAGGCTTTTGAAAAGTAAGGGCTTTCTTTTCTTTTCTTTTTTTACCATTCGTGGTGATAAATGGATGCTATGCTCTTTCATTGTGACCACTGGTTGATTGACTTTGTTTGTATGGTGATAGGACTTGTCAAATGCATGAGGAGAAAGTCAAGACCACTGAAGATCTGCTGAGGAGGAGAGAACTGGCTGTGAAGACCATGGAGGACACATACGACCACAGACTGAAAAATGAACTTTCCAGGTATTTGATGGTGTTATTTTGGGCTCACATTGTCAGAAGCAGTTTAACCAACATCATTTTGGTTTCACTATGCAGTCTTGTTTAATAAGTTCTCTTAACTCTATTCACTTTATCTCTCAAAATAAGGGTATGTATGCTTGTTAGGCATATTGTCATTATGTGACCAGAGGATGTCACTGTTTTTACAGATTATGCTTTTTCTTTTTGAATGTTTTTGTTTATTTGCTTACTATTTGTTATAGGGCTGTGCGATTATGGCAAAAATCATAATCACGATTATTTGGGTCAATAATTGATATCACGATTATTAAATACGATTATTCATTGACTTTGAAAAAATCCATTTATTGAACTTTAAAACAAATACAAATAATAATTTGTACAGTATCTGTACAAATTATTACAAACTGTTGATTACCCTGAACGTATAATTCAACTGAAAAACCAATACAAAAATAAATGATACATTTAAATAAATAATATCAAAATAATAAATACCAATAAACAAGATCAACAAATATTTTGGAGCGCACTTCCCCAAGCTACTAAACATATATAAATATGATAAATACAAATAAATGAGACCAAAATTAATTCGATCAAATATGTTGCAGTGCACTGTCACAACCTAGCAAAGCAAAATAATTGTTTTTTTCGATTATGTTGTTTTCGTAATTGTGGCAGGCCAAAATCGTAATTGCGATTAAAATACGATTCATTGCACAGCCCTAATTTGTTATTACCTCAAACGATGATGACTGTAATTACAGACTGCATTTGGTTGGCCATCACAGTGGAGTAATGTACAATAACAGGACCGGATTATTTACTAAATAGCTGCTGCTTTGGTCCATTACTCTGTATCCTTCTACCTTGTAATAGGAAAAGTCCACTATGTTTTCAAAGCCGTTTTTTTGTTCATGTTGTTGAGTTTTAAAACTATTTGTGATTGTTGTTCTTATGCATTTATAAAATGTAGGTACCAGCTTGAACTCAAAGATGAATTCATCAAGAGAACAGAACATTTAACCGAGAATGAGAACAGAAACAAAGGTCAGTATTTCAATCAATGCAATGTCACTAACCAGCTTTCTTTTGCCCATGTTTTTATTTGACTTTTGTGTTTACATGACTTTTATTTCTTAGTGGAAACGGTTCGCATCCAAAAGGAGTCTGCTGAAATTAATGGAAAATTACAGGAGCACAGCAGAGCATGTTCTGAGCTGAGACGGCTGCAGGTAAGCAACACAACTCCATTGGTCTACAATTGGCAATAGACACTTCACTAAATAATTAAACACAATTCAATCATTCAGTGTGATGTGATAATAATAATTCAATATATTATTGAGTCTACAGTGTTTTTGACTGCTCTTTCCATGTCTCTTCTGTTGTGTTTCAGGATGAGTTAGACACAGCACAGCAGCAGATTTCTCTGTTGACTCAACAGAAGGAGATTTTCAGGCAGAGACTGGAGACCATGAGTGACTACCCCAGCATGAAGAGAGAGAACGCAGAGCTGCAGGGCGAGCTGAGGCTGCTGAAGAAACAGCTGGAGGAGACCCAGGAGGAGAACCGGCTGCTCCATGCAGGTGAGGAACAGCTTGGATTAGAACAAGGCTTTCTGTCTGCATTAATGTACAACTGAGTCCTTTGTGACTGGTTACTTTAATGTTTGAGTTATCGCTGATGTAAAAATCAGTATCTCTGAATGTTTCAAAAGAGAGATAAATCCAGTTCCTTATGTAGCATTCACAGTGCTTCAGTGTGGGCTTATTGTGAGCTGTGGGAGATGCAGCGTACTGTGAAGCATTCAAGTTAGTCTGTCCCACTGCTTCTGGCTCAGCTGAGTCTTTCTGAATGTGTCTTGCCTGCCAATGTGGGGCCTCTGTGCTGTGAGTGCAGCTCTGTAGACCACTCTCTTAGAAAGAACCACTAAAGGAAAAAGGGATGAGAAGTGGAGTGAAGGAGAGATGTGACACAGGGCTCCCTTTACCCACGGCCGAGGATCAATAATGAGGATACAGTCTTCCTTTCCTTCTTTGATGGTAGAGAAGTAGGCCTTTCTCCTCATCACTTACAAAAGGCAGATATGGTGTGAAGCCCCATGTGCTATACTCTCATGCTGCACAGATCTTTATAAAACATGACATGACTCCCTTAATCAGCAGACACTGGACTAGCAAACAAGATGCATTTTCAAATGATGTACTGACTTTTCTCACAGATTTGGGCAAGCCATCCAGAGAGCAGCTGACTTTGCAGACGGACCTACGGAGGCTGCAGAGCACTCACAGACTGGACGAGGAAGAGTTTGACAACCAGAAACAGGTGCTGCAGGCACAGCTCCAGAGTGAGGTCAGTCCCATCACAGCCTCTCGCAGAGTGTGGGAAACTATGTGGTCAGCCTTTTCTTTTCTTTTTTTCATGCATCACCTTGGGGAATGTGTTGTGTAATCGGTGTTTCAGTCGACTTCTACTTATTCAATTGCTTTGCACAGACTTTATACTTTGTGAAAAGCTCTCGTGTTATATCCTGTTTTCTGTTGTTCTCTGCAGGTGGAGAGATGCGCTCAGCTTAAGGCTCAGTTGATTCAGAGTGAGGAGCGATCCCATTGGATGACTAACCACATCGAGGAAATTAAGATGCAGCTTCGCCAAACTCAACAAGGTATCACATGACTGG